ACTGTGCAACGTGAATAACCACTAAATACTGCTAAATTATGCTGATTCTATTGTTTTCTATTGTTTAATTAACACTATTTTGTAGTAAATAGTGGAAAGTGTTGCACACATTTAATGTTTGTACTCTAGTGTGTGGGCTGCAGCACTTAAAAATAAAAATTCACAATTCTTCATGTAGTGCATCAACTAAGACATTGTTTTTGTTTTATAGGAATTACTCCATTCTTGTGCTACTTCTTACCAGGGTAGGTCTGGAGAAGATGCGTGGCTTTTTCATAAAAGAATGGAATTCAGCCGGCGGTTTTGTCCCATGGACTGACTGTCCACAGAATGGTACAGACTTGTTGGCAAAGTTCACACCACAGCCTTATGAAAGAAAAAAGATTAAATCTGGTGACTCAACAACATGGGATTTATCAATTTTCATCAAAGCTCTTTTGTACTCCAAGCCTCCATTTGTACCAAAATCCAATAAAGCTTTATTTAATGGCTTAAAGTGTTTAATTGATACTAGAAACACCCTTTGCCACACTGGCAGTGGAAGGATTGAATCAACAGAGTTCACCAAGCTGTACGCTGATGCCTGCAATGCACTCATGCTAGTTGGTGCTTTACAAAGTGACTTCAAGAAAGTTGAGAGAGGTATTGATTTGTTTATTACCCACAGTTCATCTTGTTTTGTTTGCAAAGTTTATAGAATTTTAATAACAAATCTTGATCATTATTTGCTTCTCATATGTCAGATTTGTTTTTATACAGTCGAATCTCCCGTAAGCGGACACCCTTAAAAAAACAAAAAAAGTGTCTGCAAGTACAAATTTCCATCTAAAAGAAAGTCAATATTCTTGTTTAATAGTTGAAAAAGCATTCCTAATGATTAACCATAGCGAGTCAGATGGTGTGACTTAGTGATTAAGTGATTTATTTTACAAAAACTCTTTCAAGTCACATTGAAAGAGCTTTGTTTTCTCTAAAGGCTGAAGGCCAGTAGAAGTAAGAGTTGCTGTATTTTTTGCTCAGCCTCGCAAAAAAATATGAAAAACCCCAAAAACGAAACAAACTCTGGGCCCGTCTGCGGAACACCACGTTAAATGGTAGAGCAATAAAATAHCATTCGTTTTTGTCCTGTTCAGAAAGTGCACCAACAGAGACCGTGGATGCTATGGACTAGAAGTGCCATGTGATTATGGCGATGAATTTTCGATAAATTGGATCAAATCCAAACTGAAGAAAGAAGGCCATAACACATAATTCAGCTCCACGTATAGTTATGTTTTATCATTCACAAGCTGGTTAAACTCCTGAAAACTTATTATTAATCATAAAAATAGATCAAATAAAAGTTATTGAATAATGAAAAGTGAAAAAATAATAAAAAATAATAGAAAGTATAAATGCAGCTGTCCGTAAGTAGAACTGTCCCCTTACGGGGTGTCCGTAAGTAAAACTGTCCCCTTACGGGAGTGTCCGTAAGTAGAACTGTCCCCTTACGGGAGTGTCCGTAAGTAGAGATTCGACTGTACTTCTTTTGTGTTTTGATCAAAGAAAGAAATTGAGGACAGGAACTTGTGAAACATGATATC